CTCCTTCCTTCCTTCCTTCCTTCCTTCCTTCCTTTCTTTCTTTCTTCCTTTCTTTCTTTCTTTCCTTTCTTTCTTGATGGCTCACCAGTAATGAGATATGGCAGTTTCAAGAACACTGGGGAAATGCATATATATAGCTAAAACATGGCCAGCTAATTTTAGCTATATACATTTCCCCACTACCACTTGTCTGTCAGTTTGTTGTACTGTGGTGGTTTGTGTGCTACTGTGATTCTGGAAGCTATGCCAGTGTATTTTAAATACCAGCAGGGTCACCCACAGTGGGCAGGTTTCAGATGAGTTTCCAGATGAAGATAGACTAGGATGAAGGAGAGAGTAACTACTTTTGAATATTTAGTCACTGAAAACCTTTTGAATAGCAATGAAACACTCTCAGAATCAGTGCCAGCCCCTCAGGTTGGAGGCACTCAAAATGCAACTGTGGAAGATCTGCTGTCTCAAAGTAGAGTTGACCATGATGATGTGAATGGAGTAAAGCCCTAGGGACCTTCATTGACTGAAAGGGGCACAACTCAAAACAAAGAGAAACAGCTGTAAACATCTGTTAATATTACCAGAACATGGAATGTACGAAGTATGAATCTGGGAAAATTGGAAATTGCCAAAAATGACATGGAATACATAAACATCGATATCCTAGGCTTTAGTGAGCTGAAATGGACTGGTATTGGCCATTTTGAATCTGACAATCACATAGTTTACTATTCGGGAATGACAAATTGAAGCAAAATGGCATCAGATTCATTGTCAGAAAGAACATATCCAGATCTATCATGAGGTAGAATGCTGTCGGTGATAGGATAATATCCATGCATTTACAGGGAAGCCCAGTTAATACCACTGTTATTCAAATTTTATGCACCAACCACTAAAGCCAGTGAGGATGAAATACAAGAATTCTACCAACCTCTTCAGTCTGAAATTGATCAAACATTCAATCAAGATATATTGATAATTGGTGACTGGAATGCAAAGGTTGGAAACAAAGAGGAAGGATCAGTAGCTGGAAAATACGGCCTTGGTAATAGAAATGATGCTGGAGATCACATGATAGAATTCTGCAAGACCAACAATTTGTTCATTTCAAATACCTTCTTTTAACAGCATAAGAGATGACTATACACATGGACTTCACCAGATGGAATACACAGAAATAAAATTGACTACATCTGTGGAAAGAGTGGAAAAGTTCCATATCATCAGCCAAAACAAGGCCAGGGAAAGATTACAAAACAGATCATCAATTGCTCATGTGCAAATTCAAACTT